TGCCTTTTTGTTTTTTGGGTTTTTTTATGTGTTCCTAAGAAAAAGGAATAAGGATGTTCTCTTTCATAACTACAAGCCCAGTTACCAAAACCAGGAATTTTAATATTGGTACAATTTTAAATGTGTAATTCCTATTCACATTTTGCCAGTTGTCCCAATAATGTCCTTAATAGCAATTTGTTTTTATCATTCAGGAATCAATCCAGGATCAAGCATTGCATGTAGTTGGGAATTCTTTTTAACAATCTCCTTTAATTTAAAGCAATTCTTCAGTCACTCTTTAATTTTCATTTGTGACAGTTTTTAGGACCAGAAGTTACCGTTTATGAATGAAGGCTTCCTGATTTGGGTTGTTCATTTGTTTTTCATTAGATTGAAGTCATGCCCTTTGTTAGGAACAAACATAACCAATGAGGTCTTTTCAGGGCATGGTATGAAGAAAAATGGGATGCTAGTTTGCCTCATCCGTGTTGTTAGCTTTTTAAATTTCTTTTGTAGTAAAAATAATAGTAAGGTTTATTAGGAAAGAAATTTAGTGTAGCAGAATAAAAGTGGGAGAAATGGAAAAAAAAAGAAAGAAACACTTTTCCTGCCTCTGTGTGGGAAATGGGGTTAGAGACTACTTTTAATTTCCTATTTCAGGTGGTATCTCTTATGGGCTTGTTTTTTCCCCTTGTTATCTATAAGTGTGTTTTCTTTTAAAATAATATTCATTGTTCAAAGTTAGAAAGGTCAGAAAAGCACAAATCATATTGAAACTGTGCAATAGCTTGCCATTATCCAGAATTGCTACCATGTCATGATATATATATAAACCTCAAGAGTGTAGTATAATTAAGACATGTTGAGTTTTTTGTATTAATTACAATTGTTGTTAATATAATTCACTTAATTATAGTCTTATATTATTTAATATTTAGTAATGGCTATGTTTAACAAATTGGCTTGTAGACTTCCTGAAAATTTTCAGTGAGCTCTCACTAGTGTATACAAGTTACCTCCAGTGTACTGCTGTAGTTATTTTGCTGCAAATAGGGTACACCTTCAAAAACCTTTGTGGTTGCACTGTTTAACTATCTTAAGACATCAGAGCTTTCCCTTCTTTTAACATTCTTCCCACAAAACTACTTCCTGTGTATCTCACCCCCTAAGTCTCTATCTACTATACTCCCTGTTGCCAAGTCCTTCTCCCTTCCATCTACTTCTACACTGTAATTCCCTTCTTTCCCTCCCTTCACTGCCTGGCCCTCCTCCATTCTATCCCCCACCACCCCCAAGCAAGTTATTTCCTCCGTTATAGATCACTAGTATCTTAGGGAATGGAGCATCTTCTGACAAGGTCTTGTGGAGAGGAAATCTTTTATCTAGAGGACAGATTCTTAGAATTCTAGGCTAAAAATCTAAGAGAAAAGAAAATCTTAGTATTTAAAGTTATTACAATGCTGTTAATGCAGTAGATTTACTACATAAATAAGTTCAGGCTGGGGAGGAAGGACTGAGACCAAGGCTACTATTTAGAATCCTTTTTGTTTTTTTTATAATCCTTTTATTAAAAAAAAAAAAAGGTTTTGTGGGCAAGTAAGTGATTGATCTCGTGACATTTTGGTTGAATCACAATCTGTTTATGTTTGGTAATCACCTGCACTAAAAAAATAATGCTTACTGTAGAGTATCTTTTTTATTTTTAAATTATTGTGTCATCTGTCAGCAATTAAGACCCTGCAAATATAGTCAGATTCAAGGGTACATTTTTTGTTAATAAAGAAATATGTACAAAGTGTCTCTGTATAGACAGCACTCTGTTTCCTGAGTTCAGGTTTCTGGAGAAGTAGTGGGTGACACAAATGCTTTCTCTTCCTCGGGTTGAATCAAAATGAAATTATAATTGAAAATATCTTGGAAATTACCTTTGTTAAAGTTCATCTGTTGTAAATAGTGTGAGAAACTTGTTAACTCTGCAGTAAGACTGACTTACTGTTCTGTGTGCTGGTCCGTTTCCTGAACAGCACAATAATTTTATCAGGGCATCCCTCAAGGAGGGTAAGATTAAAGTAACTAAAGTAACCACCTCAACAAAAATTCTTACGAGATCTGTATTTAATTTTAAGTTTTTTCATCATCATTCCACTTGCTTAATCTTTCAAGGACACCTGAGGTAATGGTGTCTGGTACTACTGCAGTAAAATAGGAGTCCCATGGATGAAATATAGAATTTATTTGCTCTCAGTGGCTGTATCAGAGGAAAACATGTACTTTTAATTCCAAATGCCTTTGGAATCTGAATTTCAAGGGCCTTGCGGTGTATGAAGCTTCTTTCCTTCTATTTAGTATCTTGAGCATAAGCTGTGTGACTTAGTTTTTTTTTTTTTTTTTAAACTATTAAAGGTATGAAAGTTCAGAACATTCCTGTCTTGGAATGAGGTGGACATAGAAAGCTTTGTTAAAAGGTTTTCAAGTACTTTTGTTAGCCATTTTCTTTGTCTCCATTGAAAGGAAGGCCCCAGACATCGCTAGTGTGGGTTTGGAATCTCCAGTAAGATGTTGGGTCTCATGTGGAGAGGAATATCTTGATCTTGAAAAGGAAGGGACATTCTCAGGATTCCAGGCTAGAAATCTCAGTGAAAAAAATTCAGTTAGATAAGTGAAGCCAGGTGCTGGTGAGTCACACCTGTAATCCTAGCTAGTCAGGAAATAGAGATCAGGAGGATCGAGGATCGAAACCAGCCCTCGGCAAACAGTGTCTTGAAAAAACCCACCACAGAAAAGGGCTGGTGGATTGACTCAAGTGGTAAGAGCACTGCCTAGCAAGCATGAGGCCCTGAACTCAAACCCCAGGAGGCCCTACCATCCAAAAAAATCTTAAGTAGAAAAAAAATTGGAGCATAGGGCCTGGGGAGAGGTAAAGATTTAGGTTCAACTGCTGTGGTCCATTGTAGTGCAAAAGTAGCCATACACAATGTGGCATGGCTAGGTTCCAACAGAAGTTTATTTATAGACGCTGAAATTCAAATTTCATATGAATTACATGTTAAAAATTTTTTAAAAATCATTTAAAAACACAAAACCATTCTCAGCTTTAATACCTACAAAATCAACCAGGAGGCAAATAAATACGGCCCTTGGAGTCCTAGTTGCCATCCTATGAGGAAAAGGGTGAAACTTTGTCACTTTCATTTACAGTTTTTCAAGAATACAATAGTATTTCAGATATCTTGAGAAATGGACTCATATGTGCTGCAGACATTTTAACTAGTTGAATCATGCCTAAGGATAGTGAACATTTTGCCAGCCTAAGCTTTTCAAAATTGTTTCCACGAAAGGGAAGGACTTATGCCTAAGACTGAAGTATGATTTTGAGTACGATTTGAAGTTAATGATAATTCTGTTTTCCTGGTTGTGCTAGGGTGCTTGGGAGCACTCCACTTGAGTAGTCATATTAATAACTTAACTTTGAGGCCAGGTAAGTTACAGCTTGTTGGGATTGTGGTTCATTCTGACTCATGTGCCGTGGTCATTGGATTTAAATGCCCGCCACAGTTAGAGCATTGCATAGGCAACTGGAGATAAAATGAGAGTCGCTTTGGCTCCAGAATAAACCTAATGTAGCATTTCTGCTAATTGACTGGATCCTAGGTTTGACTTTTATGATTTTTGGCTTTTAGCATTTATTTAAAAACTATCTGCAGCTTTATTATATTTATGAGCTTAATAAGATGTGCCTACAGGGTGGCGTGATTTTCTTATGGATGTTGTTGTTGCTAAAAGGAAAGGAAAAATGTTACAAGTAAATGAGAATTATTTCATCTAATTTAGATGTTAAAATGGTCAGGCTTTCTCTAAAATTGTTCTTCCTTAGTTCATTAAGATTTACAGAATATTTAGTTTCTGTGCCTTAGACTTTGATGCTTTAAGTTTTTTTTGTTAGCTATGGTTACAACACAAATTATGTAATGTTTATGATTGAGAGAATGGCAATAAGCACTGTATTTCATAGAATGTATTTAATTTAGCCACTGACCTCAACTTTTTAATAAAAATCAATGTGTAAAACTGCTAGAAGAATATTTATGACTACAGACAAAGATGTCTTCCTTTGTAAATAGTTGCAAAGATGTGTAAAGTTATGTGCTTAATGGAGGGATGGGTACAGAAGATGCCAGATGGTCAGGAGACACAAATGGTTAGAGAAGTGACCTTTTATCCTAGTAGATTAACATGAGAGTTGAATCTGTTCCAAGAGTTTTGAAGTTTTATCCGTAAAGAGAGGAGGATCATTTTCGTTTGGAAAGGGAGGTGTAGTGGATGCAAGTGAAGGAAGATTTACCTGGAGCCCAAGCTCATACTCTTTGCATGCTCCCGTTTCCAGGCAGGTCTGTATGCTACAGGCTTTCCACCTCTGTAGGAGAGGGGAAGGACTTGGTAGTGATTCATGGTATGTAGAATTTAGAAAATAACTGCTGCATCTGGAACATAGAAGCTGAGGAACTTTCTGACCATTCATTCTATCTCTCTATCTCTCTAACCCCCCTCTCCGCTCCTCTCCCCCTCTTCTCCCCTCCTCTTCCCTTCTCCCCTCCCTTTAGTTGATTCAGGTAATATACTGCTTTCTTTTTTACTTGTTTATCTAATTATATACACTGAAATGCAAGTTTAAAAAGGTCAGAGATTTTATTTTCATGTTCATTTTGTATTCTTGCTTCCCAAAATATTTATTGCCTGGCATTTAAAAGTACCCAGTGTATATATTTGTATAAACCACCTAGAGGGTTAGGGATGTAGTTCATTGGTAGAGAGCTTGCCTAGTATGTACAAGGCCCAGGTCCCAGTCCCAGCAACAAAACCAAAAAGCAAAATTCCCTCCCACCCAAAGTTACTAGAACTAGGGGCACAGTTTAGATGATATATTTGTTTTGTGTTTTTTTTTTTTTTAATATTTTATAAAGATAGCTCCCAGGAAGAACCTTACTAATGCAAACTTGCTAAATCTTTTCCTTTCCTAGGGTGATTGTGTTGTAACTGTACTGCTTGCAGAGGAAGACAAAGTTGAAGATGATGTTGTTTTTTACTTGGTATTTTCGGGTTCTACCCTCCATCACTATACAAGTACTCGGAAGGTCAGTTCTGATACATTGGAGACCATTGCTCCTGGTAAGTATCTGAAGGGGATCTTTTCTAGACTTTACTAGGAGATAGTCTTGCTGTGTAGCCCAAGCTAGTCTCAGACTTTGACTCTTCTTTCCTGCCTCAGCCTCCCTCTTGAGTGCTGGGATTACAGGCATGCCATGTGCCACCATGCCTGTCTTCTTTGCTAGTTTTTGAGCACTTGTATGTTTGTTAGTATACAAGATAAAAAGGATGAGCCAGGGTTAATAAAACTATTGTCAGATCTTTAAATATGTAATTACTGCATTTTGTTTATTTTGCCTGTTCCACAGAAGTCTGAACCTAACTAGAAATAAGTGAAATAAAGTAATGCTATCAACTGAAAGATAAAAATCGGGATCAACAGAAAGTATTAGCCATTGGAATGATGATATTTGGGGGAAAACTGAAAACACTTGGAAGATATAAGTTCTCACATGGTTACTAGGATGGGATTGCAAATTTTGTTCTGAATTACATGATGACAAAACCAAAAGGTAAACGCAGTAATACATCCCTCATATCTGGATGGAAAAACCTACAAAAATCTATAAAGCTGAATTTGCTCTTGAGTCACAAATCAAGGGCCTTGATTTGTGTTTGGAGATGAGCTTTTTTCTCAGTTGACCTTGTCTTATAGTTAGCAGTTAACCACTTTTCATCAGAATTAGAAGAGGGGGACACATTGAGGGGGACCCCCTAAAAATGTCAGCAGTTTCAACTATTTCCCTTTAGAGAAAAATGGATGTAGTTAAAACTGACAACATTTTTAGTGGCCCCACTTTGTTGGTCTAGGTGATGTTTTAAAAAATATGAAGTTTATGAATATCTGGAAGTTTTTGAATATCTGGTATTACCAGTATTGGACGATGTTGCCTATTTGTCATTTCCATGCTGTTTTATATAAAATTTCTTTATATCTGGTACTTACCAAATTCTGAAAATTATACAACATTGAAGAACTGAGATTATGACAACCCTCCTACCTGGAAAAAACGATTTTGAGAAAGTCTGAGTTTAGAGATTCTAGGAAATAAAGAAGGTGGTCAGGACAGCTGCTGATTTCCTTTTTGAAGAGTATTAGGTGTCCTTCATAATTGAACGCTCCATCCATCCTGTTTCCTGCAACGTGTATTGTGTTGAGAGGCAGATCTGGAATGTGAAGTCTTCTCTCAGCAGGTGCCATTCAGTATCACCATTGCTAAATACTCATCTTGTGTTGGTGATGAGGGAAAAACAGTTATTCCCTGATTCAACTCTAGGAATATAGATAATTTTTATATGAATTTATTACTTTCTAATTAGAAGGATTTTAGGATTAAAATTTGGAGAGATAGTGTTGTGTGTGCATGTGTGTGTGTGTGTATGCTGCATATATATGTAGAAGAGAACAGAAAGCATGTTAATTAGGTACTAAGAGAATATAAGTAGATATAAGAGATAAGGCCAGGTACGACAAGTGTGTAGCCCTAGGTCCTAGCTTTGGTACTCAGTCGTGACCCTCTGTGGTCTGGTCTGTCTCTTGGTGGAGAGGCACATGCTTGCAAACTCATACAGGGTCCTTACATTAAGAAGAGTGGCAGGCATACTTTCCTTGGAGTCATAAACCCACTCTACTTGAATGGCAGCCTGGTGCTGTTAAGTTTATGCTAGCTCCTTGTACCCTACCTTTCTAAATTCTAGTGCCCATTTCATTCCTTGGCTTCAGAACTAGTGCCAGTTTGTATGTTTTTGTATACCCTTTCCAGCCACACCCTCTGTGAGTGTCCATTTGTGCTTACTGACTCAGTACCATTGCCCTAGCAACCAAGCCAACCAGAATGGTATTGAACTCTGCTACTTTTCCTCTATTTTTGTCTGAATCCTCAAAAATCATTCCTCACTCATTTGCTTGGGGCCTGGAATCCTAGTACCTGACTCATTACTCTTTCTGGTAATTACCTTCTTAAAAAAAATTTTTTTAAGCCATTTTTCCTATGGTTACAGGCTCACCACTCTCCCAACCTCATTGGCCTGATTGGTCCACTACTCACCCAGATTCAGTCAGGCTGCTGATAGGAAGTGCCCAATCACAACAGAGATTACAAAAAGGTTACAGTTCTCGAAAGACTGTCTTGAACCTGAGGAAAAACAGTGAAGTTTAAGGTACTTCAGCAGGTGAGCCTTTGGCCTGTATCAGCAAGGTCCCTAGGTGGTATGTGAAAAGCTGTGTTCATTATTCAGGCTAAGCAGATTCCAGCTGGATCCTACTGCTCTACTCATCATGATGGGATGTTTTGTTTGTCTTTTCCAGCAACTGTCCTTTGGAATATTTTAGTGATTTGTTGTGGAGGGATGAAAATGGGGCACTTGTAGTTTTGAATTTATTGTTTATATCATGGGGTTGATTTTTTAGTTTAGGTTAATTGTCTTAAGTCTGCTTTTGTTGACTTCTTATACTTGCCCCTTCCCTTCCTTCAGGTCCTTCTTCAATTATCTCCTTTCAGTGAGGCTTTTCTTGCTCACATTATGAAAACATGCAACTGCTTCCTTTCCGCATGTCCTATCTCCCCTTCCCTGATTTTTTCCATTGCACCTCTCAACTTTTTACACATTATATATTTTTCTTATGTATCTTATTTTCTCCTGCTCCTACTAAAGCATTAACTTCTCAAGGGCAAGGATTTTGTTTTTGTTCACTGTTGTAGGTTAAAAGACTTCTTCAAAGAGCCCTACCAGCATTTCCACTAAGTTGAAATTCATTCTGTTTCTCAAAAGCCAGTTTTCTAGAAAGGTGTACTTTACGCACACTCACTCCTTTACCCCCTTTGAGAAATGAATGCATAAGGACTCTCTGGCTTCTTGAATTGAATTCTTAGACTAGAGCAGGAGTCTGTGTTCTTTCCAGTGCTCTTTGATGATTTGTGTGTGTCACTTAGTAGTAATGATAGCCTCAGATTTCCTGTCTGCTGAAGACAGTTAGCTCCATCAAGATTCTTGATAGAGTCTATACAAAGCTTTGTGCATCCCAGTTGTTGGTAGATGTACATAGGCTTTCTGCAGCAGCTGCTCTGACAGAAGTCTCTGCACTCTGTCTGCTGACATGTGGACTGCCCTGCCATTCCTGCTCATTTGGGCTGACTGTTGAGAAGAGAAAGAGCTTTGTGCCTTCTTCTTGCTTTTAAGGTCATGCCTTATCCAGATTACTGACTGATTTTTCTTTCTCCCTATGTGTCACTGTTAGTGTTTTGTTACATTTTAGTTCTTACTGAAACCAGATGATCTTCAAAAAAGGCCTTTCTAAACAGCTCTTACTCTTTACATATAAAGTGAATATATATATATATATATATATATATATATATACATACATATATACACACACACACACAAATATGTGGTATATCATCGATACTAAGATTTCATGAGGTGGGCATTGAATAGAGAACATTGTCTTAAGATTCTTTGGAGATGAAACAGGTGGTAGGGACCCACCTCTTCCTGGGACACTGGGACAGGATTGTTACTGATAAGTCTTTGTTATCAATACACTTTTGATAGTTTACTTCTTTTTTTCTTCTTCCTTTAAATGTGCTGAGATGTTGGGGGCTTTGGAGACTTAACTCCTTAATTGACAGATTCTAGATCCTTCCTCCAGGGCCCTGGCTGCTCTGAGCAAAGGACTGTCAACCAGGCAGCTCTACTGCTCTCATGCCAACACCCAAAGCAGGACTCTAGCTCCAGAAGGTACTGCTCCAACAAGTAGCTCCCAGAAGACTTTTGCCCAACAGAAGACCTGTGATTGGTGGAAATACAATCCTCTATTTGCATAACAGACTGTACCATGATTGATATAAACATGAGAGAACTGCTGTGACCTTTGCCTGTTCCCCTTTCTGACTCAGCTCAGTTTGTGAGTAGCTGAGAGACCGCCTCTTTGCCTTCCCTCTGATGTCCTGATAAAGACTTCTCTCTAGTGGTCTTGCCCACTTTTACTGAGCTGCTAACAGAAAGAAGAGAAGCAGCAGCAGTGACAGGGAAGAAATACGCCAGCAGTGAGGTATGCAAGCTGAGCAGCCAGAGCAAAACTGACAGGAGTAATGGGGCAGAAGCAGGCAGGGGCTAGCCATTGGTGGACAGTGCAGAACATAAAACTGACCACCACAGGAGCTGTACACTTGGGTCCCTGAACCTGTGCCCGGAATAACTGGAGTTGCTTCTTCTTGCCTACCTGGGATTTTCTGGATAGTGCAGTAGAGTACTAGCCAGCTGGGTTGTAACAGACAGATGATAATGGGGAAAAATGATTAAGGCACTGCCTTAGATTGGAATATAGATGATCACTTAATTAGCTCCTTGCTCTTCCAAAATGTGTGTGATGCAGTTTCTTCCTTCTTAAATACTCCTGTACATATACAGACATCTTATCAATACACCAAATTTGTATATCTATCATGACCACCAAAAACTAGCAGTGGGGTGCATGCTTCTCCACATAATCCTCTCCTATTAGAGTATGGGTCTGCAGACGGAAAATTCTTAACTCTTATAAGAATTAACTTCTTCCAAAGGAAGAAAAAGAATACTGTGATGCCAAACTGACATTTTTATATTTTCTACCACTGACTGCTAATGTGGCCTTTCTCTTAGAGGACATCTGGGTGGGACTGGGCTTGGCTAGTCCAACAAGCACTTTTGGGGTTCATTTTTGGTTAGCTCATAAAACAAAGTCCTGATTGTTCATCCTCAGAAGAGAATGTCTGTCTGGATGGGATGTGTTCCACTTTTAGCCTAGTAGGAAATGAGGTAATCCTTGGGTCATGCTGTAGCAGCTTTGTTTATCTGTAGCAGTTTCCATGGGTTGCAGATGCTTTGTGCAGTGATAAGAAGTCTGCAGGAAAGTTCTCCTAGCCTCTGGCATACGCCCCTCTGACCTGCAGGCTTGAAAAGGTGTGGATTGGTGATTTTAAGAGGACCATTAACTGTTGAGCTGTTGTTGCTCACCTAGGTGCTGCTTGTGTTTTTGT